ATGATTTCATACCGTACACGCAAATGTAAATGAAATCTATCGGTACCGAGGATATCAAATCTGGAAAAAAATACGTTGATATGTAATGACGAGCAATTCTCGAAGGTTGTATGACCATTTCATCGGTCGAAGAATTAATGTATCCGGTGAAAAATGTCACGACGATATCCATGAGACAGAAAATCCGAATAATAAAAACAGTAGACAGGAGCATTTGAAACCTTAGGAGAGTTGATTCGACTGTTACTGCCGATTTAACATAGTAGGGTCCCAGAAAAGAAGAAGTAAATGGAAATATGATGACTGCCATTAAAAGAACGATACACATCCAAAGTTTCCAAGCTCTGTTCAATTCGGAATATGGATGAATTATAAAACACCGTGTCGTTCGAATTTGCCTTCGTTTTTCATAACAAATCGCGGATTGACTTTTAAATTTTAAATAACTTAATAAATTTTTTTCCGAGACAAGGAAAAAATTTTTAAATTTATTTAAACTCATTAAAAATTCTAAATCGTCATTTGGCGGTAATTGACATTTATGAGCTTTCATTTGCTTGTTAAAATATTTTTCAGGAGAAGACATTTTCCTTCCCCCTTTTTTATTTACAATTATTATTGATACTTGATTTAAAAAACAAAAACAAAAGTGTAATTAGAATTAATCAACGAAACGTTTGTTTTGATTTTATCCCGCCAAAATTATTTAAAAAAAAAAAATAATAATAATAGAAAATTCTTACTGTTGTAAGTGTTTTTTTTTCCCTTCTTCTCTCCCTCCTCCTCCTCCTCCCTCCTTGATGAGTTCTTTAGAATTTCTTAAAGTCATTTCTCTGAAAAAAAAAAAAAAAAAAAAAAAAAACAATAATTTAAAATTTACATAAAATTATATGACGCATTTAATGCTCGAGGAAAAATATCTTACCGCAAGTCTCTGTTTAAAAAAAATTACGATTTCTCTCGGAATAATAATGATAATAATAATGATATAAAGGGTGAGGAATATATATTCACAATTGCTCTGCAGGAAGCCAATCAGTTTTTTTTTTTTTTTTTTTCTCCAGAAAAACTTGAATTGTTCAAATTAAAAAAAAAATGAAAAGTTATATCTAATTGAGGGTTGAGCTTGACCATTATTTGCAAAAAAAAAACATCTTATCGTAATCTCATTTATTGTGGTCAAGAGCACACCCGCCATATTTTTTTATAATAATAATAATTAAAACTAATGCTTTCTGCAATAAAAATTAAAAAAATTATTTTAAAGTACGAAATTTTTTCTTACTTAGAAAAATGTATATGTGGTGACGATGATGACAATTTCATATTAAAAAAGTCAACAGATGATGATTCTCTTTTGGTTGTTGATGAAGATGAAGAAGACAATAATGAAAGTTCTATTATTGTTAATCCGATAAATCTCGTTAGCAGAATTGGAAATTGTGCAATCACGTCCATTACAGGTGTGCTTATTAATTAAATTATTTTTACATAAAATCTTTAATTTTTCATTTTCCATTTTGTTCTTAAACCGTTAAAATTTTAGCTGATAATAATAATGAAAAATTGGGGAGGAAACCTCGTAGACGACGTACAGCATTTACTCATGCTCAATTAGCTTTTCTTGAAAGAAAATTTAGATGTCAAAAATATTTATCTGTAGCTGATAGAAGTGATGTTGCAGAAGCTCTCAATTTATCTGAAACACAAGTTAAAACTTGGTATCAAAACAGAAGGTATCAGACAAAAAATTAGCAATTAATTATAATTTTTTTTAATAAAAATGATCAACTTACTTTTTTGTTTTTGTTTTAAAGAACAAAATGGAAGAGACAAAATCAATTGAGATTGGAACAATTAAGACAACAAACAAACGTTGATAAGACAATTATGTCACGTCAAATGTCTCCACGAACGGAAAACGATAATTGTTGTGGTTCAAGGTATCAATCTGAACCAGGTACAACCTGTAATTTTTTTCCAACAACGGCAGCAATATTAAGAAGCGTTACATACGTTCACGGATGTTCCCTGTAAATTTATTTCTTATATTATTTATTTATTTAAATAATTAAATATTATAGATAACAAAATTAAATGGTCATTTTCAAAAAAAAAAAAAACATTTTTCTTAATTTATATCCTTTCATAAAAATATTATATTAAATGTTCATCTATAATAAAAAAAAAAAAATTATTAAACAAAACAAACTTTGAAAAAACCAGTCAAGAGATCCCCTGTGTAGATTTTCAAAACAATTTTCAGAATTTTCCAAGGATTTTATTTATTTAAGTACTTTTTAAATAAGGGTTGTTACCACCACAACCACCCACTGGCTATTATTCACATTTACTCTAAAAAAAAAAAAAAAAAATGTTTTTTTTTAAAAAACTTTTATTAAAAGTTGAATGAAAAAATATTATTTAAACCTTTTCATACAAAACTTTTTTAATTATTATATTTAACTTTTATTTATTTTTATGTATTTATTTACCTTTTTATTATCATCCAAATGCTTTTAAATTCATAATTAACAAATAATTTAAACCTGTCAGGTATTTCAATACCTAATCAATTTCCAATTGCAATTGTACCATGTATTTTGTATGTGCCCAAGCATACTTTCATGTTACCCAATTAACAATCTAAAAAACAAAAAGAAATGTTGTTTAATCATATAAAATATTAAATATATACCTTAAAGTTTATATATAAATAAAAATTAATAATTAAACATCGTTTGAAATGTGAAATAAATCACATGTCATAAGGTTATTTACTAAATTGTAACCTATAAACTGCATCCATTTGTTTGTTGTGAGAAAACAAATTATTTAAGTTATTTTTACCTTTTATTTATTTGTAAGTAAATAAAACGTTAATAAATACATCGATATTTACAGACAAAAACACAAAAAAAAAGAGGGGAAAGAGTTAAATAATGGGGGAAAACAATTTGAAAGGGCGCCGCACGGATTACACATTTAACCACGGAACGTTATAAAAATGGCCGATTTGGCGCAATTATTACTTGTTTTATACGATAACAAACTCATTAGCCTTCTATTGTTGATTTCAAAGGGAAAGATAATTTGTAGCGTTGATTCCACGTTTGTCTCTTGTTTAAACATAATTGACATTTATTTAAGTATAGTTTTGCCGTATAACCGTTGATAAATTATTAACTTATTATTTTATAGATTTTATCTTTCCTATTTATTTTATTCTTTCTTTTTCGACATCATTTCCCACTCCCCTTTGCTTATTTTGCCTTTGGTTATTTCAAAAAAATTAGTAAACATTCACTCAAATTGTCAGTTACACTTTTTATTTTTATTCCTTTTTTAATAAATAAACTTTTCATGTTATGAAATCGATAAATATAATTAAAAAGAAACGTTTTAAATAAAAAATTATTGTTTCCTCTCGTTAAAAATTAAATTTTAAAACCGTAAACATAAATTTCTTACCGTTTCTTACTCACAATCGAATCCTTCACTTACAAATCATAAATTAAATAAAAATAAGAAAATTTTGTCGTGTAATTAGACAATTAACCGTTATTAAATAAACTCCGCGTTAGGAATTGTTGTTTTTAAGGAAAAAGGTAATCAAGTGAATATTTTTTTTATTTTAAATAATAATAATAATAATAATAAGAAAAAAAACATTTTCTTTTTATTCAAATATTAAATATTCAACTTATTATTTCTTTTATTTACGTAAAAAATAAAAGACTTACATAAAAATAGTAAGTAATGAGGGCTTTTTTTATCATTTTTATTATTTTTAATAATAATAATAATTTACAATTATATTAAAAAGTATACACAAAGGTTGCCAATCAATAAAATTATTAATAATAATAATAATAATAATAATAATAAAAATTTTAATTATTTAACAATAGAATTTATTTGTTTGTTTCGTTTCGTTTTAATGAAAAAAAAAAAAAAAAAAACGTTTATTAAATATGATTATTATCATAAATTATTAAAGTTTTACATATAACTGTATAATTATTATTATTAGTAATAAAAAAGTTATTATTATTATTATTTTTAAACGACGAAATAAGGAAATCATTAATAAAAAAAAAAAAAAAAAAAAAGAAAGCAAAGCTGGGTATTAGAAAAAAAAAACAAAAGAATAAATCAATAAAATGCATGCACATAATTTTTTTTTAAATATTTATGTAATAATAATAATAACAACAATTTTCATCATTATTATTATTACTACTATTATTATTATCATCAGCATTGTTTTTTTTTTTTATTTGATAATTCAAACTATTTCTTTTTTTTTTTTTTTTTGAAAACCCCCAAAACCTCACAATATATAAAAAAAATGTGATTTCATTTGATTGATTGGCAACTTCCGGTTTACAAAAAAAAAAAAACAATTATTATTATTATTATTATTAATATGATAATCAAATTTTTATTAACAAAATATGAAAAAATAATTATTGTTTATTTGAATAAAAAAAAAAAAAATAATAATAATCAAAAATAGAAACTCGGGAGTTTTTCTTTAATAAACAATCAATCATCGTACGCACACCCCCCCCAATACACACCCACGCGCGTGTGCGTGTGGGGGTGGGGGTGTGCGTTCCTTATTGAAACGATGATCCATTAAAAACCTCCATCGCGGAAAAAAAAAAAAAACAAAAAAATTTTTATATATAAAAAAAAAAATTTTCTTCCCTTTTAAAATTTATTTCATGGTCTCAAAAAATTATTATTATTAATTTATTATTATTATTATTATTATTATTATTGTAATTTTTTTTTGTTTTTGTTTTGTTTTGTAAATTTCCCCCCCGAGGATTTCATTCGGCATTTAAATCCAATAAAAATAAAAAAAATTAAATAATTAAATAATAATAATAATAAATCATATTGCAAAAAAAAAAAATTATTGTTTATTGTTTACATAATCACAATAATAATAATAATAATAATAATAAAAACAATTCATCAATCATAATTTCATTACCGTTATTACACATTTTTTTCCCTTTAACTGTACATCTACATATATCTTTTACCGTTTGTTTCATTTAAATTATTATTATTATTATTATTATTATTATTCATTCAATACTATTATTATTATTATTATTATTATTACATAATATGTATACTTATGTATAATCGGTCTGAGTGTAAAAAGAATTTTTTTTTTTTTTTTTTTTTACAAAAAAAAAAAAAAATACCATGTGATGAATGATAAATTGAAAAAAATGGCGGGAAAAATAATAATAATAATAATAATAATAATAATAATAATAATAATAATAAACGGAAGCTTGCTTATGTTTTGTGTGTCGTCAATCGTACAAAAAAAAAAAAAAAAAAAAAATTTAAAATTCAAAGGAAGGGGAAAAGCGAGAGGAAGTGAAGTGGAGGGGAGGGGAAAGAACGAGGGGAAGTGAAGGGGAGGAGTGGGGGCGGGGCGGAAAACGTAAAAAAAGGGGAAAATGATTTTCTTTTTTTTTAAAACACGGTCAAATAAATACCGTTCTGCTATGAATGAGAGATTGAATGAATGAGTGAGTGAGTGAGTGAGTGAATGAGAGTGAGTGAGTGATAGAGATAGAGATAGAGAGAGAGAGAGAGAGAAAAAAAATAAAAGAAAATCGGAAAAAAATTCTTATTTACAGAAATACAAATAACCTACAACTTAATTTATCACTTATCTACAATTTTTTTTTTTTTTTTTTTTTTTTTTTTCTTTTTTTCATAACCATTTTGACCATTTTTATTACTTTTTTTTAATTCTTCTTCTTTCTTTATATATATATATATATAAAATTTATATTTATATATATTTATATTTATCCGTTAGTTATTGTATTGTTTATTTTTTCAAATTAGCATCATTATCATATTATTATTATTATTATTATTATTATTATTATTATTAATTATTATTACTTTACTTTTTTTTTTGTCCGTTTTTTTTTTTTTAACACGAGCACTTTTCCTTTCATTTTATATTGTTATTACATCGATATTATTTATTTATTATTATTATCATTATTAATATATATATATATATATATACACATTTATATATATAGTAATAACTATTTTTTTTTTTTTTTTTAATTTCACTGCGAACTCACTATGTTTATGTGTATATACACCCATACACGTGTGTGTGTGTGTGTGTTAGTATTTATGTGTTTAAGTATGTGTATGTGTGTGTGTGTGTGTGTATACCTTTTTAAAGTTTACATGTGTCAATGTATATAAAAAAAATTTTATTATTTTTTTTTTTTTTTCATTTTTTCAACTCTCATCTAAATGTGACTAAAAAACAAAGTTCCGTTTCCGTTTCCGCTTCCGCTTTCCCTTTTATTGTTTATTTATCAATAACTTTTCATTGATTGATTGATTTCTTTTTCTTCTCCTTTTCATAGTTTTCAGATAAAAAAAAAAAAAATGTTTGGTGTTTTCATTTTCTTTTCTTTTCTTTTCACGTCTTAAGCACTTTTAAAAAATTATTATTATTATCATTATCATTATTATTATTATTAATTATACGAAACGAAAAATCTCACTTTTAAAAAAAAAAAAAAAAAAATCAACGCATCGCGGTTACTGCGTTCGTCGCATTTAAAAAAAAAAAAAAAAAACAAAACTCTAAAGTTTTTTTTTTTTCCCGCGTTTTATATATATATATATATATATATATATATATATATATATATATATATATATATATATATATATAAAACACGATCGATCTTTTTTACTCTATGATAGCCCCCGAAAGTAAGCCCCCTTTTTTTTTTTTCTTTCCAAGGTCTAATACCCTCTAGGGAACTAATATTTATTATAATGATTCTTCGAATGCTGCCATTAAATCACTTTGCATATTCATATCTATTTGACCCGCCAACTAAAACACAAAATAATTTAAAATATTAATTACGTCATACATACGTGCATTCACGTGACTTTCTTTCCCCTCTCCCCACTCCCCCCCCTCATTATTTGAACCGAATTAAAAAAAAAAAAAAACAAAAAATACTCACAGCTTCTCGCCTTCTCCTCTCTTGTTCTCGTAACCTTTGCCTTTCTCTTTCCGCCGCGGATTTGTCGCCTCCTCCGTTATTGGGACTAGAATTATCTTCTTGCCCGCTCGATTTGACTTCTTCCACCCTGTTTAATTGTTGCTGTTGCTGTTGTTGTTGTTGTTGTTGCTGCTGTTGTTGTTGTTCAGCTACGGCTTTTCTGTTTTAGTACGAAAACAAAATTGATAAATATTTATTCATAAGTGTGGTAAAAGTTTATTTGATTCTTGGTAGATATCCGATATCTAACCTGGCTTTTTCTAAGGCCTCTTCTTCTTCTCTCTCTCTCCGTCTTTCATTTTCTATTCTTATCCTTTCTCTTTCCGCTTGTTCTTTTTGTAACCTTCTAATTTCTTGTTGCTCTATCAACGCTCTTTGCTGAATAAATTTGAATTCGTTAATACATTTTTTTTTTTCTAGATAAGGTAAATTAATTTAAGAAAAATTTCTTACTCTGTCAGCTTTTTCCTTTGCCTGCTTTTTAAAAGCCTGAAAACTGTCCATCGCATTTTTCATGTTCGATGCGTTCCCTCCAACCGCATTATGCGGAGAAGATGCCTGTGCCAAGGACGACCACGAACTGGCATTTTTTAAATTATCTGCCATGTTCGGAGGTTTCGATTTAAATGCAGAAGCAAAATTCGAACCTGAATTAACAGGACTTGGTTTGACTTCTGAAAAATATTAATAATATCATTGATATTAAAAAAAATTTTTTTTCCAAACTAAATAAAAAAAACAGGATGGAAAAATAATTAATTTTAATCACCTTCGGACGTTGCTGTACCTTGTCCGGTTGAGGCAGGAGGCGGAGGGGGAGGAGGAGGAGGAGGTTGTAGTACAGCAGGTTTTTCTTCCTTGACCGATACCGGATCGAAGACAGAGGGAACACCGACTGCTGCTGCTACTCCTCCGACGTTCGGCGGACTCTCAACTTTTATTTCCGTTGCTGGAAATCCATTGCTACGGGATACGGGTACGGGAAGTGTGATGGGAGGCGGAAACACGGCTGGAGTTTTCAAAACGACCGAATGCTGAAACACATCGTTATCGTTGAGCATGGGAACAACAAGGGGTGGGTTTGTCATGGAATTTGTGTTTAATGGAAGAGAGGGGGGCGAGGCAGAAACGCTCATGTCTAAATGAGACTCCAGTTCCTAAAAATTTAACTATAGTAATTTTTGTTTTTTAAATTAATTCAAAATTTACAAATTTTCTTATTCTACTCACGTCGAGAGTTTGCGGAAGAATTCCCACGGGATCCGTTAAATCCGGCGGTTGTTGTTTGCCCGTCATCTGAGTCGACGTTTGTTGGGGTTGTGGCTGTTGTTGCTGCGTTTGAGTTTGAGGCGTACTAGTAGTAGGGGGTGGTTGAACTTGAGTCGGCGTTTGACTTGTTTGAAGTTTAACAGGTTGATTAACCGGCGGAGCCCTGATTTGTATCGGCGTCACGGATGGCAATCCAGGTTTTGAAAGACTGTTAACCGCAGGCGTTGTCGTCATAGTCGTCATAGTTTGAGTCATGGGTGAAACTTCCGCGACCGTTTCGGGAGGTTTCACGGGTAGTGGTTTTTTTACGGGTGCGGCCGTCGCCGTGGATATTGGTCTCGAAGGTTGTGGGGGTAAAGAGTGACTAGCCACTATTCCCGGTTTAGCCGGTCCAGCGTTAGCAACTGCATTTAAGCTTGGCTGAGGTTCGGGTTTATTTATTAATAAATTATTTAGTAGTGGAACGGATGAAGGTGTACTCGCGGGAGGCGCCGTCGTTCCTCCGGAAACATTTTTCTAAAAAAAAAAAAATAAATAAAAACATTGTGACGTAATAATTTATCATCGTTACACCGAAAGTCAAAGTCATCCATCCTACTTAAATCCATGACTTACCGAATGTTTTTTATTTTTTTTTCTCGGCGGTCTTCCTCCTCTTCCTGAAAAAAACATTACGTTTGTTTTTAAAAAAAATTTTACGTATGACAAATACAAAAAAAAAAAAAAAAAAAAAAAAAAAAAAAACTAAAAAAAAAAAATTTACCCGAAGAGAAAAAACGGAAACACCCTCAAATTTTAATAAGATTTAACTCACCTTTTAATAAGCTCTACATTTCTTCCTAATGGCCGCCATTTTGTTTTTTTTTTTAAATGTAATTTTTAAAACTTGGATACAACCTTCACCTTTTTGAAATGTCCGAAACTTCATCATCAAATTCTTAACGTATCCAGAAACCCTAATAATAACCTCCTTTTCCCCAACTTAACTTAAAATCATCTCAGGTACGACAAAACCATAACTTAAAAACCTATTCCGAAATTTTTTTCTTCCAATAATACAAAAATTATTTATACAAAAAAAAAAAAAACCTTAAACCTTAATTTTTCTTTTTAAAAATCAAATAACCTATTCGACGAACCTAAACAAAAATTTTCAAACCTTAAAAGCCAGACAAAATTATATTAATTTAATTAATTAATTAAAAAAAAAATTATAATTTAAATTATATATATATATAAAACTTTAACTTATATTTTTTTTTACACATTATTATTTCTTTTTACGACATTAAAAAAAAAAAAAAAAAAAAAATAATAATAATAATAATGATTTTTTTTTTTTTAATTTTTTATAAATGCAAAATCAGACAGGACATCATCATCATCATCATCATCATCATCATCATCATATATTTTAATCTATTCACACACAGCAGTACTTTTTTTTTTTTTATCAATTAATATACTCTTACAAAAAACATAAATAATAATAATAATAATATTAATAATAATAATTAATAAACATTTTTTTTTTTTTTTTTTAAATCATTGATTGATTGTCTCTCAAAGTAATAATTACCTTTTTTTTTTTATAAATATTAAAAGTACGTCTTACAATATAAATTAAAGCTAAATTTTCTAGAAATTTCTGCAGCAATAGAAAAAAAAAAAAAAAAAAAACCGGTTCGTTATGCTAGAAAAAAAATAGAAAAAAATTACTAGAAGGATTTAGTTTTTAGTTTCCGAAAAGGAAAATTTTTTTTTTTTGTGAAATCACGTCACAAATTATTATTATTATTATTTTTTTTTTTTTATTATCATTAAATACATAAATAAGACACACAAAAAAAAAAAAAAAAAAAAAAACGTCCCAAGTTTTTTTTTTCTGTATATATAAAAAAAAAAAAAAAAAAAAAATTTGTCTCTAAGTACATGACCCCTTAATGGGATGATGACCCCAGGGCAACAAACTATTTGTATTTACAATTTTTTATTTTATTTTATTTATATTTCTACTGCTATTTATTATATATATATATATATATAATAATAATATTATTATTATCATCAATTTTTGCGTGTACATATATATATATATATATAATAAAATTTATATTTTCCCTCAAGTTAAAGGGTTTGAATAGTAACCAATGAATTTGTTTTTTTTTTTTTCATTCATTCATTCACAACCTAAAAAAAACCCGAAATTTTCTTTTCAAAATAGTAAAAATAATAATAATAATAATAATAATAATAATAATAATTTAATTATCATTTCATTGGTTAACATTTATCAAACCCTTTATTACTTCCCCTCTCCTTTTGTATTCACAGGCTAGTCTGTTTCAAATTTTTTTTTCATATATTCGTAGTTTTTTTTTTTTTTTTTGTTGTTGGAAAGCAATCAATTTTTTTTTTTAATAAAATACAAAAAAAAAAAAAAAAAAGGCAGAAAGTGCAAACAATGTGTTTATCATCATTATTATAATTATTTAAAAAAAAAAAAAAAAAAAAAAAAAAATTAAAAAAAAAAAAGAAAAACAAACGAGGCCAGCAAGCCAGGTCCATCCATAATTCAATATTCACTTAGTTAAAAAAAAAAAAAAAAAAAAAAAAAAAAATTAAAAAAAAAATATAATTAATTAAAAAAATTAATTAATTAATTCATTTATAAATTATACATAAATACATAAATATACACATATACATATACATACATACATACATACATATATGTATATATATATATATATTTTTTTTTTATTAAAAATAAAAATAAAAATTTTTACAAATCGAATCATTCACATTGTCTGCATTCTCTAGCCAGCTAACAATGTCATGTTCGTGGTAGACACAAGTCATCCGGCTAAAAATTTTACAAAAAAAAAAATTTTTTTTAAATAATAATAATAATAATAATAATAATAATAATAATAAGAGTTCTTTCTTTCTTTCTTTCTAAGGGGTTAGGGTCATCATTATTTTAATCAATTAATTTTCATTTAATATATATATATATATATATATATACATATAATTTTTTTTTTTTTTTTTTCAAATGTTGGGTAAATTTTGAAAGCAGCCTCGCGTAAAACAGCAATTAACGAATTTAATATATAAATAAATAACTAAGGAATGTTTTTTTTTTTTTTTTTTTTTTTTTTTTTTAAAATTTGTGACTTATTTTATCGCGTTACAATGATTATTATCATTATTATCATCATTATTAATATTATTATTATTATATGCTACAAGTTCCTTTCTGATTTTGCATTTTATTTTATTATAATAATGCCTGGCAATAAGATATTATCAAAACAATGAACCAAATCATCATCATCATCAACATCAACAACATCATCATAATCATCATCATCATCATCATTCGCAGCAGCTCGTCTTCGACAAAATTATTATTATTATTAATAATAATTTCATTATTAAAACTATAATTATTTTAATTTAATCTATTTATTTATTTATTTATTTATACGACACAGGAACCAAAAAAATCTAAACCAATTTGTGTGAATATTGATGGACGGCTGACTACTGATCCCTGACCCCAAACCACAATCTGCACTCTTCGATCAACTACAAATTTATGAAATGATGATAATAGTTGCAACTTTTTTAACAAGATACCTGTACGCTCACAGGTATCTCTTGTCGAAAAGCTTTTCATCATAATATTTATATTTTAAAAGTTGCAACTATTATTATATTAAAACAGACTTACCTTTGACAATGGCTGTGACTGAATACTGAAAATTCTCTAATTAATTTACATTATTATTATTATTATTATTATTATTATTATCATTATTATCATTTTAAATAGCATTAAAATAAATTATTTTATAGAAAATAATTTTTCAAGTCCAGAATGCTTACTAGTAATTATATTAAACGAGTATTCAATTTTTTTTTTTATTGGGGCGCATACGAATTCGTACGCCCGAAAAAAAAAAAAAAAAAAAAAAAAAAATTCAATTTTTTTTTTCAAAGCAAAAGCTCAATTTATAATTACTTATACATATCGATATGATAAAAATTAATTATTTTCTAACTAATAAATTAAAAAATTATTATTATTGCAGTCGAACTAAATTTTGCATGTGATTGGGCCAATTTCTTTTTTATTTTGAATTCCCCTCCCCTCCACCCGCTTTAAAATCCCCTTGTTTCCTAACGGTAATCATTAATTGAAAAAAAAAAAAAAAAAAATACAATTTAAAGTCTGACAAAGAGATCTCGGTGGGAGGGGGGGGGAAAAAACAATTATGAGAGATGTTGTAACTCAGGTACTTAAATAATGAAAAGTAGGTTCTACTTCCCCCCCCCACCGCTCTTCACATAAGCCACCCTATTGCGACATGCCCAGGAGTTTTACAAGGGTACGGGTGGTTCCCGATTATATTCAAATCCATACCGGATCCCACACTCCTCCCGTTCAAAGGAGGGGTAAGTGCGTAACCGCATTTCTCCTGGGTCAACAAAAAAGTACTTGAGTAATATTACAAACGATTTAACATAAAAATTTCACTGCTGCCAATACCAAAAAAAAAAAAAAAAAAAAAACAAAATGGTTCTTTTATTATTACTTTTGTAATTTGTTTCAAAAAAATTATTTATTTTCCCTCTCCCCCCCTTCCCCCGCCGCCCCTAAACATTACTTACACTTATTCAAATACTATTTTTTGTTTATAAGGCCCAAAAATGCAAAAAAAAAAAATTATAACTATAAAAAAAAAAAAAAAAAATGAACACAAATGATGATAATCATTTAAACGTTTAAAATGATCGTTTTCGTTTCATATTTTTCAATATTATTATTATTATTATTATTATTATTTATTCTCTTTCCTTTTTAAATCAGATCTAATTTAATTTAATTTAATATTTAATACTGAGTATAAATAATTCAAAAAAAAAAAATTTTTTTTTTTTTTTTTTGTCTTTCTTACAGCAAACATTCTGGACGTAAACAATTATTTAATTTCGACCATAAAGGGGAAAAAAGAGGCAAAATCCATTTTTACATTTTATAATTTAAAAAAAAAAAAAAAAAAAAAAAAAAAAATGTCCAAACAACATAACAATGATAATTTTCTATGATTAAAATGGTTTTCACCTCTCTCGTAAATTAATTTTTTTTTTTTTTAAATAAACATTTCATTATAATTCTCGTTGTAATGCCACGTGGTTTTTACAATATGATAACGCAATGAATCGACACGCACGCACTTTTTCCTTTTTGTGTTTTCATTCTACTACTAATCGAAAAAATAAAAAATTTAAAAAATCAATCAATCAATCAATCAATCATGGAAGAAAGCAAAAAAAAAATCGAAAATCGAAAGTCTCTGACATCTTTCCTCCCATTCAATTTTTCAAAATATTGTTTTTCTAGAAAAAAAAAAAAAAATCCCTTCCCCCCCCCCCGGGCCACCCCCCAACCAGATTTTCAATTCTTTTACTTTAAGGCAATTTAACAATTCCAAACATTTTAGTTTATTCCCCCCGCCCCCGCCCCCGCCCTCCTTCCTTCTTTTTTTTAATTCACGACTTACGAAATTGTACAATTTACTCGTTTCAAAAAACATTATTAATTCTTAATAAAAAAAAAAAAATCAATAATAATAATAATAATAATAATAATAATAATGATAATAATATTGAATAAAAGCAACTAAAATATTGTTTATTTAAACACAACATAAAAGAATACTATACAAGATTCAGCCCTGACTGACACTGAGGAGTCGCACTGTTTTTTTTTTTTTTTTTTTTTTTTTTGTTTTTCCTTCCCTATTCTACTACCACGAAAACACGAAAATGTTTTACGATATAAAAAAAAATAAGAAAAATTTTTTTTTTTTTTTTTTTTTTTTTTCATGAAAACCCGTTGAAATTTTTTTTTTTTTTTTAAGTTTTCAATGCACGTTTCCCTGATTTTTTTTTTTTTTTTTTTTTAAAAAAACCACGTCAAGCATTAGTCATTTGTTTTTTTTTTTTTTTAGGGGGGCTTGGTGCGATAATTTTTTTTTTTTTTAAACAATTCTCGTTTCCCGGGCCCACACTAACCTGCTTCCGAGTCACTTGAATCGCTAGAACTACTCGATAAACTCGAACTCGAAGAATCAGAATCACTAGAGCTAGAACTTGATGACAACCTAGATTGACCTCCGACAGAATCTCCTTTAGAACCAACTTCTAAAAATATACGAAAAAAAAAAAAAAAATTTAAAGTAAATGATAAATGATAAAAAAAAAAATTTTTTTTTCTCGTTTTATTCATCCATCCATCGATATCTAACCTTTTTTCGCCGTTTTTCGCGGTGAGGCTAACTGTCCGGATACGTCCTGAAGTCTTTTTTCTAATTCCAATTTCTTTTCTGCCATTTGTTCATCTTTAGATTTTCCAGACGGCTTTTTATCTGTTGGAAAAAAAAAAAAACAGTAATAATAATAATAATAATAATAAAAGTTATTCTACATTTTCATATAATTATTTATTTTTCGCAATTACGATAAAAGGTATCATTAACTTTTTTGATGAGAGACTTTATGGGTTTTCAAATAAATAAATAAATAAATAATTATCAGAATGGGTCAACATAAAAAATAGTACTAGGTTTTTTTTTTTTTTTTTTTTTTTTTATTTAACTCAATCAACACTTACCAATATCCAATTGTCCTTGATAGCAACACGCAAAAAGAAAAAACATGATTCAAAACAATTGACATTTAATATTGTACATATACGAGAAAAAAAAAAAAAAAAAAAAAATGGAGAATAACAATACAATACTAAAAGTAATTGATTTTTAAATTTATTTTTTTTTAAAATAATTAATAATTATTTAAAATAATATTCGAACGACAAAAATTTTAACGATATGGGGTAACGCATAATATAAAATGTCATTACGTAGTGTTGCTATCAAGGATTTTAATTGACTAAAATAGGGAAAATGTTTCAATGTAACCAACACCAATAAATCCCCCTTTTCCCCTTCCCTTTCCCTTCCCATTCCCCTCCCACTGACAGTATAAGAAGAAACAATGCACAAAAACTTGCGTAAGAATTTATAATTTCCGTCATTGTAAAAAATTTTATGTTTAGTACGCAATTTCAACAAAATTAATATTATTATTATTATTATTAAGATATTAGAAAAATGAAAAATTAAACCACCCCACCCAACGGGGGAAAATCAGCAAACTTGTCAAAAAACCTTTAATTTATATATATATAAAAAAAAAAAAACGTCTTTTTTAAAATATAGCATCATGATGTATTTTTTAAAGGTTTTTCAACACCCCCGATAAAGGAAGATAGGAAAGATAAAAAGAGACTTACATGAGTAGGGCTTACGTGGCTTTTTCCTGAGACAAGATGCTACGTATGCTTCTAATTCTCTGAGTGTTGATGGCTTTAACGTTTCGAAATCGATTTCTATTTCGTCCGGATTTGAATCTCGCAGCGATGGTTCCCGCGATTGAATTATATGAACCACTCGTCCCAACTTGTCTCCTGTTGATAAAAAATACAAAAAAAATTTTCTCATATTAGTAATTGAGCAAATTTTAAACGGAACAATTTCGATTGGACAAAATTAAACAAAAAAAGGTTCTTACGAACCTGGCAATTTGTTAATGTCGAGACTAAGTTGCCTCTTTTCGTCGTACGACATGGGCCTCGCGTTATCCTCATCTTCGCTATCGAAAGCAGATGATGCCGCCAAGTTGGCATTTTTCTTTCTTCCCGGACCTGTTTTCGCATTAGTTTTTGGTTTTTTAGGAGCTCCCGTTCCGGTTGGCGTTTTCGGTTTGGCAGTTGGCTTATTTTTTGGTTTGGGTGGAACGCCGGATACCGGAACAGATTTAACTTCTCCCGGAATAGGCTTCAACTCATTTCCTCCAGCACCAGAAACCTAAATTTAAATTAAAATTTTTTATTTTTGATTTCAATTAAAGTGCAAATTTTGTCAATGTTTTTTTTTTTTTTTTTTTACAACTAAATTAAAATTGAAAATCCTAGAGGGTTCAAATCTACAAATTCGCATGATTTATCATTGAATAAAACTTTAACTTTTTTTTTTTTTTTTTTTTATAGAAAAATTGCTTTTTGCGAATTTAAAATTAAAATTAATCGCCATTAAGCTATCGATCGGTAATATATATAACTAATCTATTTATCAAAAAGCAACGTACTACGTTAGAAATACTAGCCGAAATGGAATCCGTTAAGACAGGCTTTACCTCTCCGGAGGGTTTTTTCTTTTTGGCTTGCAAAGGCGTTGCTCTTGATCCATCCGAAAATTCCTTTTTCTTATTTTTCTTAGACTTTTTATTATGACTTTCTTCTACTAATTTTCTCATTTGCTCTTGCATAGCTTTTAACTACATTTAAAAAAAAAAAAATTTTTTTAAATTATATTTTATTATATATATATGTATATAAAAAATTTCTTTCTTTCTTTTCACCTGTTCTTGCAGTAAAACTAATTTTCTAGCTCTCTCTCGATCCGAATCTTCTTCGTCACACGAAGACTCAGAACTACTTTCGCTTGATCCGCTTGAGGAATGCTTTTCCAAATTTAATGAGCTAACTGGGTCATCAGGTATTTTTGCGTATCTGTAAATAAAAATAATGAAATTAATGGTAGTACATTTTTCCCCCAGATAACATAAATCCGTGAAAAATGGAAAAGTAAAAAAAAAAAAAAAAAGTATCAGTCGCCCAAAAAATCATGGTAATCAGTTGACACGCTAATAAATCATCATAACATAAATTGCAATTTTTTCACAATTAATTAATTATTAGATAAGAAAAAAAAAAAAAAAACAGAAACAAACAAACAAACAAACCTCATTTCAAAGACGTCTTGCAATTTTCTAGCCATGGCGACGACGTCATGGGTAGATGGATTGTACTTATAACAATTTGTAAAAATAAGTCTGACATCAGCAGCAAATTCTGATGCTGTCCTATATTGTCTGTTGTCCATTTTTGTCTTATGAAAAAAAAAAACAAAAAACCTTTTAATAAATACACTTCGATTTCGTAGCAATTATTTTTCATTATTTAATTTTTTTTTTTTTAAAAACGCTTTTCAATAAATTCAATTAAAAATCAATTTTAAAGTAATATTTAAGAAAATAAATAAATTTGAAAAATCTTATAAAATTTAAATTAATTTTTTACAAATTTTATTACATTTTTTTTTTTACAGTAAATTAATTCATATAATTTTCTCAATTCTTTAGGCTTTTTTTTTTTTTTTTTTTTTTTTTTTAATAAACAAACAAGAGAAATGACAGTAATTTTTGGAATTAAATTATATTGTGAACCATTTTGGACATTCAAAATTTTAACAGAATAAAATGACACGAATTTTACCTTAACTGTTCCAAGGTCCATGGGCTTTTTGATTATTTCGTGATAATCATGAAGTCCCAACAGTTCTGCATCGACTGGTTTATAAAACGGCCAAGCATAACCCTGAAAAAAATAAAAAACAAAAAAAAATTTTTTTTCACTGTAATAAAAAAAAAAAAACTAAAAAAAGTTAAAATAATTCATGTAATAAACATACTGCATGTTTTCTAGAAAACAACTCTTTAAGAATTTCATTACAAGACTTGAGCGACTCTGAAAGTTTTTCTTTTGAAGACCCAGAAGTAGGGCCCGAGGGTGGAAGGCCAATAGGAACTGCTGCTGCGAAACCCAAACCATCATCCGATGACCTAGGTTTCTTGATTTGTCGCCCCGATTCTCTTCTTGTAGGTATTTTAGCTGCTTTATTTTCTACTGGTGTGTACAAAGGATCCAAAGCACTTGCTGTGGGAGTTGTAGTATCAGCCTTTCTTTTAACTCCCTTTTTTACCTGGTAAAAAAAATAAAAAAGACTCACGTTATTTAAATTCTAGTTTAATTGATCAACACCTATTCAAGAACGAAAACCAACCATACTACTAAAATAAAGTATAAAAATTTAGTTAAAACGGTAAATTAAAAATATTTTTTTTTTATTATTATTATAAATATAAACAAACTAAATGACAACTCCAAAAAAATGGCGAATTTTTTTTTACTGCATTAAAAAATGTAACAGGAATGTAAAGAACATACCCAGTTTAAATAAAGATATACAGAATTGATTAACATAATTAAAAAAGTTATTATCAATTTTGATTATATCCATCTTGAACAATGTTGGACGTAATGGGATGCATTGACGGCATAAAGCCATAACGATTTTCTTTTTTTCTTTCGCCTAAATTTTCGAATTCCGAATAAAGTATATCTTAAATATACAGTAAAGTAAATATTCTTAAATTTGCGATACAACTTTTGCAAATCGATTAAATAATGTTAGCTTTAATAATATTTTATTAAAAAAAAAAAAAAAAAATTTTAACATGTCACGGGTTTTAAAAAATTACCTTTGCAGGAGCTTGCCGAGGCAACATAGGGGACTGAGACACTACAACAGATGGCTCTCCAATAGTGGATACCGAAACGGCTGGTTGAGCGTGGTAACCGCTTGCAGGAGGTGTGGCCACCTAAAATACATTAACAGAAAAGATTTTTAAAAGAATTTAAAAAATAAAATAAAAAGGAACGCAACTGTTGAAAAAGATGTCTATGTTCAAACCTGTTTAGGTAACGAATTATGAGTAATAGTAGTTGTTGCTGTCGAACCTGGAGGAGTGATTGGAGTTGGAGGCCCAGGAACACTACTACTAACTATAGTAGCTGGTCGGCCTCGATTTCCAGCGTTAGCCGCTGCAGTTCCACTAGCACCCCCAGCTCCAGGTCTTTTTTTTGTTCCTTTTCCCTTAGGTGGCACTGGCTCCAACTCTATTTCCTCCTTTGGCAATGTCGAGATCTTGAAGTAAAATTAAAAACCATCAGTAAGTCGGTTTTTTTTTTTTTTTTTTAGTCATTAAAATACAGACATAAAATAATTGTTTTAACCTAAGTAACATAAATGATTGATTCAGAAAATTAATGTTCAAAAGTTATTAATTTCCCAGTTAATAGAAACCACGAAAATAAAACTTAAACATTTTAAATATTTTGATATTAAATGAAAATCAATTTGTTTGGCTTTGAAAAGTGAAAACGTGAATTGAAATCTTTAGTTACCTTAGTCAAAAACAATTTTTCAACTATCTGAGCCATTACTACCACGTCTTCCTGTGGCTGATTATAAACATAACAGTTAGTAAACATTGTATTGAAGTCTTGTATGCACTCCTTCGCATTCCAATAATAATTATTTTCCAATCTTTTTTTAATTGTTGTTAAATCCATAGGTTGTTTAATTATTCTATGATAATCCTAAAAAAAAAAAAAAAAAAAAAAAAAAGGAAATAAATCAATCAGATAAACTCAAACTATAATTTTTTAAAAAAACGTCTTTTACATTATAAAGAATATTACTTACTGGTAAATTGAGTTTCTTTGCATCGACGGGCTCAAGAAGAGGCCAAGCATATTTATGTGCACAAACTGCTTTGATAACATTTTTCTGAATAAAAGCTAACTGATTTGTCAACCGACCAGGGCGATCTGGTGGAGGTACTACAGGCGGCTGAACTATTCCGTTTACAGGTTCAATAAATGGTTCTATTCGTGGTGGAGGTTCCTTCACCTCTTTAGTTGCGGCAGCGGTCTCCCCCGCCTAAAAAAATCATAATTAAATTATTTTTATCTGTTTTTTTTTTTTTTTAAATAATTTATTATTGTTTGCCTTAAATAATTCTTACATTATTTGCTTCCGTTTGCTGCATTTTATCACCACTCATTTAGAACTGTATGAGAGCCAATAGATGAAGTTTGTTCAGCTTGCCCAACTGGCAACTTCCCCGGAAAGTATGACTCCTGGGCTAGCAACATCTGTAAAAATTTGTAATAACCTCTTTAAAAAACATCATACAAATTAATTTTATAAAAAAAAAAAAAAAAAAAAAAATTATAAAAATTTCAATAACAATTTTTGAGATCAGTTAATACTTGTCTTTATGTCGAAGTAATGCTGTATAAAAATCTTTTTGACAGTACAAGATTACAATTGCCAAACAAAAATAAATAAGTAAATAATAATAATAAGTACTTATTATTAAAAAATGTATTATTTAAAAATAATAAATTTAATTTTTCAAATTTATTTAACTAAATTATCCTTTTTCTAGTACAATATAAAACTTTCGAATAATTATAGTGTACTTTAAACAAGATAGTGCAAAGAGTAAGTATATGAAATAAATATTCAAATGAATTTATTATTAAAAATTATAATAAAAGCAACAGATATTTTGTTAAAATTCACTTTTATATCTTTAAATTAATGATACTCGTAAAATTAAACAACCAAAGGATTCAAATATTGAAAAAAACGATTAAAAATAGAAAAATTTTTTTAAAAAAAAAAATTACTAATGTAAAAAATTGATTTAGAAACTAAGAGAAGTAAGTAGTGAAATGAGGAAATATACTTAAAAGAAAAGAAAAAGACTCATCAAGGAGGAAAAACTTAGATTTAATTTTTAAAAAAATAATAAATATATAGTGAATACATAGAAAAAGGAAAAAAAAAAATTTTTAAGTGTTGAATATAACCTTAAGTAATAATCTTATATTAATAACACTTTTAAATAACAAGACAATTTTTTTTATCATAATTTATTATTTGCATAAAAATTTTTTAAGAAATGTATGGTTTAATAATAAATATATTGTACTAGACATTCACGAATAAAAAATATTATAACAAAATTCTGATCCAGATACACAATCGTCATGTACAATCAACAATAAAGGCATCATTAAATAACTAAAGATTTTATATAGAAGAGAAAAAACTATCAGACTAATTTATTTATATAATTAAACACCATTAAAAGTTTTTGATTTGTTTATATAAATAACAATTTTTTTTTTTTTTTTTTTTTTTGGTAAAGTCAGTCATTTAAATCAGCAAATTTCAGTTTTGAAAGGGTTGTAAATTCCAATGACCAAAAACAATTTTTTTAATTTAATGATTCAATTAGTAAATCAACTAATAACAATACTCAAGTTCTGATTGATTATTTATTACTAAAAACGTATTACAAACGTTAAAATCACCTATTTCTGTATAATTAGACATACCTGCCAAGCAACTCAATAAATAAATATAATTAATCCAAAAGTAAATTACATTTTTAGCATTTTCACTTATTCATCAAGTTCATCAAATAGATTTGTCACTTTTTAAATGTTTAAAAACTGAAATTAGGTATGAAATAGTTTTCAATGAATACTTATTTTGTTAAAGCTTTTTTTGTTTCACTATAGCGTGGATTTTAAAAAACCACATTCAATAACTGAAATTTGTAAACTTGATAGAATGGAGCTGAATGTAAATAAAACAATTTGTTATTAAAAGAAATTATTTTTTTAAATTGCAAACGATAACAATTCAACTAGTGGGCCAATAACTAAAATAAGTGTAAGGTTTAACCTGAACTTGACAAAACTGTTTGTTACATAGGCCAGGATAGCCTAGGCGCCAAGGTCTTTTAATTGCACCATTATTTTGACTTTATTAATATTCCAAAATTAAAACAAAGTAAATCATAAAAATAAATAAACAATTTTGGGCTTGAAAAATTTTAATTTCAACAGCGGATTCGAAAAAAGCCACCAAAAAAAAACAAAACTGTATTCCAATACAATTACAGCTTAGGCTTCAACATGGCGGGCTCCGAGTCCGGGAAGACGAAAAGAAATGAGGGCATTTTATTAAATGCTGTTTTGAAGTTCATGCAAATTAAAAACAGCTTTCATAGCTCCAGTGGTACCCAGAAAAATGGAGAACCACTCACCTGAAGCCTGGAGTCAGGTTTTCAACGGTTTTTGGAGCAAAACAATGTACGGTACGCCTTGATCCGATTTCCTTGAAGTAAAAGCCGTATCCGACTCAGAGCCCACTCACTAAAGAACCACTGTACTCAAAAACTATATTGTTCTACTAAAAAAAAACTATTTAGTACCCTGAACTGAAGTTTGGAGAAGGACACCGTGATATTGCAATTAATGGATGGCTTAATTTATCCATAATAATCCACGATTAAAAATCAACGATTTCCTTTCTCACAAATCACAATGGCTACGCAGCTACTCCAACGGCTGTCGGAGAAGTGAAAAATTCTATTGAAATCCGAGGCCTGTGATTGGTCGACGATAGTCACGTGACAAAATGCGACATTGATTTACACATTTTTATAAACTAAATATTTTACGAAAATAAAAAAACAGTTAATAATTTTTATAAAAAAAAATTTTTTTCACTACATATTAAATTGTCAAAATTTTTCGAGGGCTAAATTTCACGTAAAACGAATATTACGATGAGCGTCCACAGGCTTCATGTCGAAAACTACACACATTTGGAAGAATTGTATGAGGAGCATTGCAAAAAATAACGCAAGCGCTAATATAAATATCTTTCGAAAAAAAAACAATTAAATTTAAAAAAATAATACGCGCAACATTTGAAGCACAATTTTAACTTTTCCAAATTAAATATAAATAGTTGAAAAATTTTTTAAAAACTTAATTATTAATGAAAAATGCCCATTAGTAAATTTGGTAATTTTTTTTCTGTAATTCCTTCCGCGTGCAACAACTAAATAACTCGATATACTTTCTGTTCAAGGCTATAATTTGAAAAATTTTAAATTGATTCATCGTATCATTAAATAACCACACGTAAAAAGTTCATTTTATAATTATGACTTGCGTACAAAACGTTCCAGAATTTTCAGTCACAATAAACACCTTAATGGCGTTTATTTTTTTTGTTATACTGGCCTAGTACGCCGTTGGGCGCCTTTTTGAAAAACGTTTACATGGATGGTTATATAGTAAATAAATAAATAATTTATTTACCCTTAGTGAATTCACGTTTTCACCCAATTATTTCATTCATACGTTATATAATGAGTAATTTCTACTTGCGTATATTAAAAAAAAAAAAAAAAAAAAATTGACTTAATTAAAAAACGACAGACAATAAAAAACGTTATTTTTATTTTGATTTTATATTAAATTAATTTCTATCTTTAGCTTACGGCAAATGAATCATACATTATTTACATAACTATTTCACAAAACAAAACAAAAAATTTAATTCTTACTATATAACTTTATGCCACTTATTTTAATTTTAAATATTGTCAAATTATCAAACGACAACAACGCAAAATAATAATAATAATAATAATTAAAATCCATTTGTAAATATTTAAATAAAAAAACCGCCATTTTTAAAGTCACGTCAAATTAAAATTGCCGCCATTTTCTTTTATTTATTATTCTTTCATTTATTTAATACAAAAAATAAAAAAAATTAAACAAAAATTAAATAAACTAATAGCAATCATTATTTAATATCTATAAATAAATAAAAAAAAAAAACTTTAATAAAATAAAATAAATAACCGTTAATAATTCTTATATCATTATATATAATATTTATATTAAGCCGTTATAATAAGTATATATTGTTAAAAGAAAATAATAATAATAACAAAAATTGAAAAATTTAATTAATTAATTAATTAATATGCAATAATAATACATTATTTACATTTTATTAAATTATGTTTTATGTTAAAAATTAAACAAAAATAAAAAAAAAAAATAGAAAAAAAAAATTTAACATATTTATGTAATGAAAATTTATTGATTATTTTTTTATTTTTTATTAATGGTCAGTTTTTGTTTTTTAATTTTTAAATAAATATAAAAATATATATATATGTAAAAATTTATATTTTATTTTTATTTTAAATGAAAATAATAATAATAATAATAATAATAATAATAATAATAATAATAATAAGGGTGAAATACATTAAAAAATATATTTAATAATAATAAAATATTATTTCTTCATTCGTTTTTTTTTTTATACACATCATCATCATCATCATCATTATCATATGCATCAATTATTTTTTGAATCTCAATAAGACTAGTTATTAATTATTTTATTTATTTAAATTTAAATTTTGAAAAAAAAAAAAAACCGTTAAAAAAATTAAACTTAAATTTGAAAAAAAAATTTTTTATTTATGGAAGTTTTCTTTTATTTAAATAATTTTATTAATTGACTACCGAACGGTTTTTTTTTTTGTTTAATTTAATTAAATTTAATTAATTTAAATAATTAAATTTTATTTTTTATGTATTAATTAATAATGGTGTACATTCTACATCTATGTGTCATTAATAAAAAACAAAAAAAAGCATTAAAAATAAACACACACACACACACACATCTATTTATTTATTTATATTCGTTAAAGCCTTTCTCTATAAATTTATTAATAATTTTTTTAAACTTTTGAAATACATAATTTATTTATTAAATGGCACCGATAAAATATTCATTTATTTATTTATTTATTTATTTATTTTGTGCGAAATAAGCTTTTAACTAAAAAAAAAATAAAAAAAAAAAAATTATACATCAAATCAATTTCATCGTTCTATTTAATTATTATTATTTATTTATTTATTTAAACAAATTTTTATGTAAGTTAAAATAATAACATAAATAATAAAATTATTAATATTTTTTTAATAAAATAATAAAGCTGCCTAACAAAAAATTATTTAAAATTAAAAATGCAAACAAATTATTATTAATTAACTTATCAACCATTTTAATATGTTACCATTAAAAAAAAAATTAATAAAATAGTAGTAAATACATAGATACATACATTAATAAGTATTAATAATAATAATAATAAATATATAAAAAAATATTCTAATAATAAATATATACAAAATAATGATAATTTTTTTAATAATAAAGCTCTAATTTAAAAAAAATTTATTTTATTCGTACATAATTAAATAAATAATTGATTATATTTATAATAATAATAATAATAATAATTGGCCTGCTGCCTTGCTAATATTTACTCACACACACACACACACACATATTATTTATTTATTCTTATTCTTATTAACTATTTAAATAATATATTTAATTGTTAATAAAATTTTTATTATTTTTAAAATTAGGCCGTATACTACTCGTTCGTTTCAATATGTTTTATATTAAAGCTTATTTCATATAAATTTTCTTCTTTTTTTTTTTAAATAATATATTTTTAAATAATAATAATAATAATAATTATTATTTTATTGCTGAATAAATTTTCTTTCGGTGCTGAATGAGATCATTTCTTTCATAATTTTTTTAAGGCAAATTTTTTTTTTTTTTTTTGTATGATGTGCATGAAAAAAAAAAAAAAAAAAATGTTTAAAATACTATTACGATTTTTTTTTTTGGTGCTTTCACGACTAAATTATTTATTTATTTATTTATTAAATTACACGTATGTTTAAAATACTCTTAATAATAATAATAATTTACGGGTTTTTTTTATTAATATTTACAATATTAAATTTGATTTTTACAACACATATACACACACATTTTTTCGATTGATTGATTTAAATTAACGTGTGCTCTTATATACCGTAACAATATTAATTACAATAATAATAATAATAATAATAATACTAATAATAATTTATATAAAGCTAAAAAAAAAAAAAATTTGTGTAAATTTCGTTAATTTGTTTTATTTTTCCTTCTTCTTCTTAAATTTTTTAATATTTAAAATTTAAATTTTTTTTTTAACCCCCATTTAATATTTTTTCGATGCATCATAACTAATAAATTTAACATAATCGTTTAATATCAATATACCTTAAATATACAGGTATATTTATTTATTTATTTGTTTAAAAAAATTTTCGTTATTTTAATAAAAACTATTTAAAAATTTCACATTCATATACGTAATTAAAAAAATAAAAATTTTTTATGAGAAAAATAATTTGGTTCGATAAACCAAACAACACAATCGCGTTACATTAAATCGTTTGATTCGAAAAAAAAAAACTTAAAATCTACAATTATATATTTATATATATATATATATATATATATATATATATATATATATATATATATATAAACGCAAAAATGATATTTTTTCTTCCAGAAAAAAAAAATTTATTTATAATTTTATGTTTTTTTCCCACCGCGAGGTTTTATTTTTTCCGATATTTGCCACATGGCTTCCTCCGACAGTGAATCGTCGAAACCGTTAAAAAAAGCAATGATCCTGTCGTTTTTTTTATAAGGGTAACTGCTGAAATTAAATAAATGCTCATCATTAATTTAAAACGTTAAACAATTTTTAATTTTTTTTTTATTAATTAATTTACTTGCCCTTTTTTAAAACGTTTCATATTTTCAACTATGTTAAATTGCTGCCATCTTTTTGAAAAATTAATTCCTCCGCAGGGTAACGTATTGGTGTTTCCAATGTGTACAAATGTCAAGTCTTGAAGTACCAATCCTCTGAAATACAAACGAGAAATTCATTCATTGGTAAAACTGTTGAACGACGCCGTGTAACAAAAAAAAAAAAAAAAAAAAAATTAACCGAAAAAATTACATGTATGGTATGCATGGTGGATGCGTTTCCGCGAGTGCTTGCCTGTAGGCTCTAAAACTAGATGAACTATCGATCAAGGTACAATATTCTTTGAGTCCTTCGGTTATGTGTTTTTGCCATTCGAGACGTCTCACCGGAGCTGAATCCAGGGCTGACAACAATGCCAAATACGAATTAAAATTATTTATTTTACGTAAATGCTTCATTATTTTAATAAATTTAACGACGTATTTTTCGCGATCTTTCGCATCGTTTTGCTCCAGTATTCTCGATCGCGCCCTGCAAAAAAATCAATAATTAATCAATTTACGGTAATTTTGAAAAAACCCTACGACAGCCATGATAATAATATTTCATTCACCAATAAGACATTTTATTAAAATGTTCGGTGAACTTTGTCAAGTTTGGACTTCTTTCCTCGTTTTGCTCTTGAGCCCATATTAAAACTTCAGGGATTTCTATTTTTAAAAATAATTCTGCATCCAACAGAGTCATTTGTTCGGCGACTTGCTCCGATTTAAAATCTAACAACAGAGATTGTCTGAAAAAAAAAAAAAAAAAAAAATCGAATAAAAATTTTAAGACGTATTTGCCGATTCGTGACCATTTCATTCCTCAAAAACGATTTATTACCTCGTGTAAACGTTATGCGATGGTAGCAAACTATTGGCATTCAGGTACAATTTTTTAGCTTCGTACTTGCTCAACATGATAACTCTCAAAGCTTTTGCCATCGTTAAATCTCCGCGACATAAAAGCTGTTGTACGAATTCCATTAAAGTTTGTAGTACGACTTGTTCTAAATCCGTCAGACTGTGGGTCAAGACAAGACAAGTTAACAAACATTTTAACATTTTAGAAAATTTAGGATGGAAAAAAAAAAAAAAAAAATTTCTAGAAGCTTTTCTTAAAACTTACGTTAAGTCACTTACAACTCTCACCAAGAGTGAAAATGATTCTCTGGCTGCTCTTTGTTTCAATGATTCCTGACTGCTGCTAAATTTTTCATGACGGTAACAAAGTTTTTGAATGAGTTCTAATGGAGTCATAAAAGTCCGATAAGTTGTTAAAAAAGCCTCCTGATAAAGAAAATCTGTTTGAAAAAAAAAAAAAAAAAACGATTAAACGTGATTTCCGTGAGAGAGAAAAAGAAGTGCAGTCGACCAAGAAATACGACGGACCATTTTTATGAGCTTTGGTCGCATGAACGACAAGAGCATCCGGATGTCCTCCTCGTATGTCTGGACCCTCGTCATCTTGATTTTTAAATATCAAATGATCGGATATGTTCAATCTGTCGAGAAGAGAGAAACCATTTTCTTTTTCCGTTTCCGTCGACGAAGTTTCCAGGTTTAAATTTGAAACCGTAGACACTGGAGTGGTCGGAATTATTTCGGGAATGAGGGATTCTTTACTGCTGACGACTTCGTCATCCTTGTGAACATCTAAAAATTCGTTTCTGCAAATCGGAGACATTTAAATTTTAAATTTCAATTCGATTTTCGTAATTAATTTTTAAATTAAATAAAAATTTTATTATGATTTACCTTTTGACTACGGGACTCTCGGGGATTAAAGTTGGAGTTTGTGGAGGTGAACTCGTACTCGAACGATTTCTTTTTTTCGGTGGCAAAGCCGGCGGTAAAGAACTTTTATCGGATTTCACATCGATTCTAAAAATTTAGTAAACAAATATGGCCGTTTACAAAAAAAAATAATACCACGCTTAACATTAACGCAAAATCTATTACTGACGTTTTTATCGGAGTGCTTTGATTCGAACTACTACTTATGACGAACGAACATGACTGAGCGGAAGTCAAAAGTTTCTGATGCTGTTGCCATTCGGATTGAAGTAAATTATAAGCGTGAACAGAATGTCTTAAAAATTCATTCGCATTCGCATGAGAAGCATTTCCAAATATTTCCATGTATGCCATAACTGTAAAAAGTTTTTTTTATTTTTTTTTTTAAAAGCAAGTCTCATTAAAAGCAATGAAATAATAATAATAATATTGAAATTAAATTTTCATTCTCCATATTTAAAATGCAAAAAAAAAAAAAAAAAAAAAAAAAAAACAAAAATTGTAAAAACCGTATTGAACTCAGCGACTTCTACAAATTAATAAAAAAAAAAAAAAAAGGGATGCTTTTTAATTGAAAGATAAATAAAAAAAAAAAAACAAATTGTAAGCATCAAATTTTTTTTTTTTTTGGGGAGCCAATGACTGAGCTGAAAACGGTTTTTCATCATACATAACAACAAGCAAGACATTGAAATGTTGAGGCTAAGGACCCACTTACCAGAGTAGGCCACAGATTGGAACACTACAGACAAGAAGAAAATCGAATAAAAGAAAAAGCTCACATAAATAAATTATTATTATTATTATTTAATTTTTTTTTGTTAATTATTCGCGTGATATTTTATTATCATTATTTTATTCACTTGCAGTTTTTTAAAATTTATTTACTTACTATGTTTTTTCTTGGGTGGCAAAGGAGGAGGTTTCCCATCGGGTGAGGAACAATTTGTCGATGTGGAAAGAGCGTTCACTTTAAGGAGTGACTGCTCCGTCATATTTCCACTAGTTTTAGATTCCAAAATGTTGCCTTCGAACGCATCCGATTGGCTAACGTTTGTAATTCCTAAATTTTTAAGAAAAGGTTAATTACCATTCGACTTTTAAATTTTTTTAATAAAAGAAAACCAATCAAATTATCGTATTTTATTTTAAAATGATGGATTCCTACCTCCTACGCTGTCGACTTTCACTGAATTAATCGAAGAGAAATTACTTTGCTTGTGATTTATAACACCATCTTCCTTCCTCACGAGAGTATGAGAAAAAGAAGAATTATGTAAATGACTAGTCTCAGTAGTAATACATTCGTTGTCTTTCACGTTATCGTACTGTGAGGAATGACGTTCTCGGGAAATTCGTGGTTTTATTTTTTCCGGTAATGCCGGAGGTTTTGTATCATCAGGTGGAAATATTAAATTTCCTGTAAGCAAAAAAAAAAAAAAAAAAATTACATTTTAGAAAAACTGCAACCGTTAAAAAAATACAGTCGGGGTACAAAAACATTACCCATTTGCGTGGGAGAGAAAACATTAAGAGACTCGTTGGGGGTAAATGAAGACAAGAAAGACGCGTGAAAAGGACATTCGAAAATTTTCACTTCGTGATGACAACACGGAATTCCATCTGATTTTTTATTTTGAAAATCATTTTCGGACCATGTTCCATCACCGCCACCGGAAATTTCCGTACAAGTTTTCGTAAGCGATTGTTTGGTTTGAAAAGAAACCTTTTCCGAGGAAGTTGTGGTAACCGTTCTTTGACTCGAATTTTGTCCGTGAATGTTTTCAACAGCGTAAGTTTGAAACTTTTGAGTGCAAGATGACGATTCCGTCGATATAATTTTCTATCACCAAAAAAAAAATTCTAATTAGTATAAAATCATTCTATAATTACATGGGGGGGGGGGGAAACTTCTCCTCTTACTTTTTCTGTGTGATGGGATTCTTGACTTGTATAACTTTGTTGTGATGATCTAGTTGAATTTAACTGTTGTGAAGAAGTGGAATAACTTTGAAATGAACTTCTTCCGCTTGCTAAAGATGCAAAACCCGATTCGGCTTGAGATCCTGACAATCGATCTATTTTCGTCGGTGAATTTTCTATAAAAAAAAAAAAAATTAAATTTTACTAAACTAAACGTAAATTCTATTTAAATAAATAATGTGAATTTTTCTAACCGGATGACATTATATCAGGTACGAAAGTCGGAGAGCTCCTGGGGTAATTTAAAGTTATTTGTGAATTGTTTACTGGGAGAAAGTCACCAGAAGACGAAGCGTAATCCCATGAAAACATCGGTGGGTTACCATTTTGAAGACCGTGGTGTTGTTCTAATAAGTGATTATGAATGCAACCATCTCTGTCATATTTCGAATCCAGTCCAACCGAAGAATCAACGTCTTCTCTATTATTAAAATTATTTTTAATTAATACTTGATTGAATAATTATCCGTGTTATACAATTATCGTTTGAATTATTTAATTAAAAGAGAACCTTTTTATGTAACATTTAAAAAAAAAAAAACTATAAAACATGAAACCGGGAAACTATTAAACACAATCGATACACTTTAACAACAATAATTTCAAATCTTCAACCAGGTACAGGTAAGGTAGGAAAATCAATTTTCCAATATATATTCTATCTCTCTCTTTTAATAAAAAAAAAAAAAACAACAAAAATTTTTACCGATGATTTAAAACGGAATCCAAACTTCCAGCAGACGCACTTAAAAGCGAAGAAGAATCTTCGGGACTTTTGCTACGTAAACTCAAACATTCCATACTAGTTTTCAAAACAGTTAAATCTTCTGGATTTTTTTGCCTTTTCTTCGGTGGCAAAGGAGGAGGATAGGTAGAATCTAAATTAATTCTGAAAATTTAATTTATGTCATCGGTAAGTTTTATAAATTTATAAAATAAAATTTAAAAAAAAATATATAATGTGTTTATACCTGTCAGGATGAGGTGGCTTGGGAGGTGGAGACTCGCCCAAAACGTTTTCCGTGCTTTGAGAATGTCTTTCCAATACGAAAGCAGACGTTCTTTCCAAAATTTCTCTTTCTCTCGGTGTAAGCGGAATATCAGGCAATGAATTCCTTTGTCCCAAATCGAAATTTGGTTTGTCGGGTAAAGCTCTGGGTTTGTGTTGAACCGGAGTTTCCGATGCCACCGATTTGAAATTTGCATCTCTCACAATTATCTTATCTCTGGTAAGTGAAACTAAATTCTACAAAAAATATAAAACAATTTAATAAAACACACAAAAGTAACTATTTAAACAACCGAAAATGTTACGTTTCGTTAAGGTCGTTCACTTACATTAATGGCATCTTCGACGAGATTAACAATTTCGCTAACATTTTCTTTTTCAAGCGCCTTCTCACCAATTAACAAATAATCATCACAAAGCTTAATTAACTTCGCTACGCTTTGGTAAACTTGATTGGTAGCCGAGACTAGAGTAGAGCTAAAAATAAAAATTGTATACAATTTTGCTTTATTATTATTATTATTATTAAATATAAGTTTTATAAATTGAAGCTTGATTGAATTAAAAAAAAAAAAAAAAAAAAAAAAGTCAAATTTCAACCACGAGAATGGTTCGACTTACCTTTGTTCGTTGAGCACATATTTTTTGAGCAACACGTGTATAGCCGTAACAGTTTCTAAGACAACAGTACCGTTCCCAGGAAGCATTTCCAATTTATTCTTGTTAACAACGTCTCTGAAATGTTTTAAAGCCAACTGAACCTGCCTTATGTTGCATTCTAAATCTCTCGATGGATTTTTCTCTACGGTTCCATCTCCGACATCGGCAGGCATTTTCGTTCGAGTTTTCGGTGAACACGGGGATCCCGAACGGGTTGTCGAACCTCCGGGAGATCGCATTTGTGATAATATTTCCAAAAAATCTTCTTTGAATGACCGGGCGCGTCGAGCCAATCTATTACCACGGGATTTGCCACAAACAGAGGATTCGCCTGAAAAAAAAAAAAATAAATAAATAAATAAATTATTATTTCTATTGAAGACGCTTTAAGAGTCAATCGTGGGCCGTTTTTGAACGATGATAAATATGAAATGATTCAGAAATCATAACGCGTGTTTATTCATTCAAGTAATAAGTAGAGAACAACATTCATTTTTTTCAAAAAAAAAGCCTAAAATGAAAAATATTTAAGGTGTGACACCGATTCTATACAAAAGGTACAATTGATTATATAAGTAAGAAAATTAACTATACCTTATAATCATAGGTTTACATTTTTTTTTTTTTTTTTTTTAACTTCGACAAAGTTAAATTTTAACAATTTTCTTCGACTGTAAAATGAAAGCTCGATTATTAATAGTAACAAACATCAAAGAAATACAAAAATAATTTTTTTTTTTTTTTTTTTTTTGTATTGATTATTAATATTTATAATAAAACGTAAAAAAACCTTGACCAAGAAAGGCGTACAGGATGTGGCGTAGGTAGGTAGGTAGGTAGGTATACCGATTATTATTATAATACAAACACGTATCGTCATTTTATTTTTTATTATTTTTATTATTATTATTATTATTTTTTTTTTTTTTTCGTATAAGTTGTAGTAACCGGAGTCTAATATCGTTCGGTTGTGTTGTATTTATAGCTATAAAAAAAAAAAAAAAAAAAAAAAAAAAAAATTTAACTTTTGTACCGTTTAGGCTCCTGCAAGAACCGTGCCTCCTTGCTAACATACATTTTATTGATCACGTTTATTTTACTGTTTGTTTTAAATTTGTGTTGTTTTTAATTAAAATTAAATTTATATATATATATATTATATAAGTGAAAAATTATTATTATTATTATTATTGATTTCCATCGAAAATGTGTATTCTTTTTAATATTTGAATAATGTTCGTCGTCGTATCAGTTTACTTGATTAGAAAGAAAAAAAAAACGTTTTAATAATTTTTTTTTTTAAACGATAATATTATTATATTATTGTCTTTCAAATAATTTATGATTAGTCAAATGTTCAAGGTTAAGTTTAAATTTTTCAATATTTCATGATTGTTTTGTTATTAATTATTTGTTATTTTTTGGAATTTAACTAAAAATAGAATTTAACTCACCGAAACCTTTTAATAAATTATATAATAATATCTAAGTTTTAATAAATAAGTTTTAACAAAGTGCACACAACAAATCAGAGTCAAATAAATTCACTTATGCAATCAAATTGGAATGACAAATAAGGTAAAAAAAAAAAAAAAAAATATGGAATCTACTTTTTAAACTTTTTAAACTTTAAAAAAAAAAACCACTACTATACATTTTTTAACCACAAAAAAAAAAATTTTTTTTTTTTTTTTCGCCAATGAGTAACTAACTAATTATTTCGTTTATATTGACGAATAAACTGTCAATAAGACAAGCCAAAAAATAAAAAATTTAATTAATTAAACCACTTTTTTTTTTTTACTTTAGTAAATTTGTTTTTTTTTTTTTTCTCCCCTTTACATAGAATAATGAATAAAAATAACTTCAAAAACTCTTGAAGAAAATTAATGACACAAGTTATAAAATAAAATAATTATATACTTGTGATTATAAAATTGTTTTTTTTGTTCACATTTTTTCAAAACGTTAAAATAATATTTACAAAAAAAAAAAAAACCAAAGTTAAAATGATCATTAACCGAAGAGATTCAAACCAAAAATAACCCAAAAGGGCTTTGCATAATAATCTATTTTTAAAAATTAAACTAAAATGATTTTCAAACACGAAAAATGCATTAGAAAAAAAAAAAAAAATACAAGAGCCGAACTTTAAAAAATAAAAAAAATTTAAATGTTTGATTTAAATATGAAGAATTCTAATGAATTTTTTCCCGATTTTTTCCATTTTTTTTTTTTTTTTTTCACAAGAAAAAAAAAAAAATAATGTAAAAAGTAGTATTATGTGTTTTCTTTACCACAAACTCAAATGAACTGAAGACTTGACTCATGGTCGAGTCGATTGTCATTGTCAATCACGCTTTTTTTTTTTTTTTTAAGGTGCATAATAAAAATGGTACCTTGATTTTTGATTACCTTTCATCCTCATTCACAAAATCATATTTTTATTTATAATTATAACATGCTACGAACAATTCTTTGTCAAAAAAAAGAAAGTATTTAAAAGAGAAAAAAAAAAAAAAACTTGGAAAATTATACCAAGTCTTGTTTGTTTGTTTGTTTGTTTTTATTTTAAATGCTACAACATATTAAAATACTTTAAGTTTAAAATTTTGGTCCTTATCTCGTTATTGTGCTTCAAATTTGAATTGTTTTATTCTTATGCTCATGATATTTTTTTAACGTTTATTATTAATTTTTAATGAGTACAAGGGTAGGTACAGAGTTTAAAGGGCACAGAAGTTGTAAGAAAAAAAAAAAAAAGTAGATTTGTTAAAATGATGTTATTTTAGTATTTCGAACGATAATCGCTTTTTTTAAAATAAAAATTTAAGATGTGCAAAACAGTTTTGAATATTTTTCATAAATATAAATATTATCAGTAAAATAATATGTTGATAGCACAATTGATAAGTTGTATTAATAAAAAAAATTTATTATTTATTTTTTTGTTCGTTTACTCAAATGATAAATTATAAATTATTGTTCATGGCAGTTTATCGAGAAAAAATAATATAAATGGTATTTACCGAAACAATTTTTTAAAAATTGTTATGTCAAATTTAATATTAATTAAAACATATTGATTTGTTTTAACATACACAAGTTTTTTTTAACAAAAGCAATAATTAATTGAAATTTAATTCAAAAGTTAATAAAAGAGTTTTTATTAACTTGGTGAAATTGTATAAGCACACAAGCAAGCTATGAAATGAAAATTGAGTGTATTAATAAATGCAACAATTTTACCTTGTACACAAATTAACACAACTATTATAAACAGAAGAAAAACATAATATTTTAAATTTTTTTAATAAGTAATAACAGTGTATAACTTTATTTGAAACTTACAGTAAATATTTAGTTTTGAAATCAATGTAAAATTTTTTTTGAATTCTTACAAACATAAAATAAACTTCGTTATTTTCTTATGTATATAAATAACTCAAATACCAAAGAGTATTGAAAAAAAAAAACAATTTTTTTTGTTAACTTGTTAAATTTTTGGTTATTTATGCAAATTATAAGGGTGATTTCAAAATCTCTAAGTATTAAATACCGGATTCAAATATGAAAACATACCTTGTAAAAATTTTTCATTTTTCGCATTTGTAGACATTTCCAATTTTGATTTTTGAATACAAAGTCCTTAATAGTTCTTCTACACATAACCGTTAAAAAATATTTAGGTTGTAATTAATTAAAAAGAATAATAATAATAATAATGATAATGATAATAATAATAATAATAGACAGGAATTTAAAAAGAAAAAGAAGAAGCAAATAACTACACTACATCAATACTGCCATTTTCCGAGTATTGGCAATGCCAACATAACAGTTCCAAATTCTTCCGGTTGCTTTTATAAATCAATTTAATTATTCTAGTGCCAAAAATTATATAATAAATTACAAAATGGGTAAAACATCTAAAGATAAAAGAGATATTTATTATAGACTTGCTAAGGAAGAAGGATGGAGAGCAAGAAGTGCCTTTAAGCTTTTACAAATTAATGAAGAATTTAATATTTTTGAAAATGTTACTCGAGTTGTAGACCTGTGTGCTGCACCAGGCAATAAAAATTTTTTCTTTAAATTTTTGTCTATTTAGGATTTATTTGATTTTGCTTACTTTTTCTAAATTTTTTAGGAAGCTGGAGTCAAGTTCTGTCTAGAAAACTGTATGGCAAAGATATGAGTAAATCTGTTGACTCAAATCAAAAATTAAGTAATGATACAATAATTGTAGCAGTTGATTTGCAACCAATGGCTCCTCTTCCCGGTGTTATTCAAATTCAAGGAGATATTACTAAATTAAGCACAGCAAAACAAATTATTGAACATTTTTCTGGTTCTCCAGCTCAATTGGTTGTATGTGATGGAGCACCTGATGTCACTGGATTACATGATATTGATGAATTTGTTCAAAGTCAGCTATTATTGGCTGCTTTTAATATTACTTCACATATTTTAATGGTTAATGTTTTTATAAAAACTAATTTTAAAAATTCCTATAATTACCAACATGTTAAAAAAAAGTTTTCATTTATGTGTGTACATAATTAATTTTTTTTTTTTTTGTAGAAAGGAGGAACATTTGTTGCTAAAATATTTAGAGGAAAAGACATAACTTTAATTTACTCTCAATTAAAAATATTTTTTAAATTTGTAACTGTTGCAAAACCTAGGAGTTCTAGAAATTCTAGCATTGAAGCTTTTGTTGTGTGTCAAAACTACCAACCACCAAATGACTATGTTCCAAACATGAATAATCCATTATTAGGAGAAAGTTACAATGATCAAAATCAGCTTATTGGTTCTAATAGGTTCATCGTTCCATTTATGGCATGTGGAGATTTAAATGGATTCGATTCTGATGCTACATATAGTTTAAATATTGATGGTATTACAAAAAAATTTACTTCAACAGCAATAATATTTAATTGCTTTAAAAACATTTACCATTTCTATTGAAAAAATAACGATATCAACTAATGCTTGTAATAATATTACAATTTATTTTTGTTTTTTCAGGTCAGAAATCGTATGAATATCACAAACCGACTCAAGAACCAATTGATCCTCCTTATAAAAAATCAGTTGAATTGAGAAGGCAGCAAAAACTTCAAAAACCGGAATCTTCGCAATGTCAGGAAGTTAAAAGTAGCGACGATAGTCAAGCACTAGCAAAAAACTTGATTAATGAATTCTTTGTTCTTTCTGTAAATTCTTCTAAAAATGAAAGTGAAAATTAAAATTTTTCAAGATGTTATCTATCATGATTCCTGATATTTATACTTAAAAAGGAGATTAAGCAGGTATCGATCATGATTGTTGTGAATGTCAACAAAATTTTCTTATGATTCATAATTTTAGAATTCTAATTTATAAACATGTATTCAATATGAAAATTTAGGATAATAACATCTTTATAAAAAAAAAAAAGTTACCAGTTTAAAGGAAATCATTTTACCTTAAAATTTTTTACATTTGTTATCTACCAAAAAAAATTTTGAGGCCTCGAATGGGGTTAATAATTTTTATTTTCGAACAGTGAGTTTTTCCACTCTTCACACGGTTTAAAATATAAATAATATTTAATTGTAGATAGACAACATTTAAATAAATTTTTTTTTTTTATAATTTTTAAATTTATAAAAATTTTATGAATTTTGGATTTGCTCTTTTATCGAAAAGTATTTCATTTGTTATAGATTAAAATGTTTTGTGAAATGAAATATGTTACTTAGCAACCACACTAAGCTAAGTAGTAATCATTGACAATTGAAATTAAACTTATAATCACAGTTGGATATATATCAAAAAATGCTCCTCACAAAAATGCAATACCACGATGAAAATAATTTAGATGTTATAAATCAGAAAATAACTGAAATAAAGAAAAAAATACAATTATCAGGTATTACATATTATATTTATTTGTATATTAATAATTACAATGGTTTAAAATTTTTTTTTTTTAACCTCTTTTGATTTATATATTAATAATTTTTTAGAGGGACAAAGAAAAGCACATTTTGAAGAATGTGATGCTGAAAAAAAGAAAAATATTGATAAAATTCGTACACTAAAAAAAGACATTAGAGAAATATATAAAAAATTATCTGATCCCAAAACGGCAAGTAAAAAAATTTTTCATTATGGAAATAATTTCTTATTAACAAAATATTTTATTTATGATTGATAGAAAGGATAGTAATTGTTATTAAATCTATAGGATTTTTAATTGTTTAAAAGGATTGAGTAATAATTTGTAATTTCTATTAAAATCCTTAATGTAATTCAATTTTTTTTTTTTTTTTTACTTCTAGTGTAACGATTTAATTTTAAAAACTGTAAACAATCCAAAAGAAGTGGGTGTTATACGAAATAAAAATATGGACGACGCCATTGATTTTATGGATTTGAAATGCATCGATTTAAATAAACAACTTGATATATTCAAATTAAAAAACAAAATGGTATCATAAATTATTTTAACCCTTCATAAAACCTCCACGTCTAATATTTTTACCGGGGTATACGTTTGTGTGTGTGTGTGTGTGCGTGTACAATAAGTTTATTTATCGCATTTCAATCAAATAATAATTTATAAAAATTTATAATATTTATTATAGAAAAAACTCGAGTTGAAACAACTCGCCGAAGAGTATAGAAAACTTGTCGATTTTAAAAATGGTAAAAAATTTGGAAAGTTTGGTAATAATGACGACAAAGTAAGTTTTTTTTTTTTTTTAAATTTTAATAATTACATTACAAATAATAATAATAATAATAATAATAATAATAATTTCATTTATTTTAAAGATAATAAGCGCGCTGGAAAATCAAATTCACAGAGTCGAAATGAACATGATGGAAGCCGAGCACATAAATAAAAAATACAAAACGATTTGTTTGCATCTTTTGTCGGAAAGCGTCGAATTTGAGAGTACGTTAAAAAAATTAGAGGATGAGATAGAAAAACAAAATGCGGAAATTCAACAGCTTCAATTAATCAACAAGGAAGCTGTCGGGTTGAGAGATGCTACAAAGGGAACTTTATTACGTCACGAAATAACGGCTTTAAATGCTGGGAAAAATAGAGAAAATCAACTTCAAGATTTTAGGTTTTTAACGATTTACTTTACGTCACGAATTTTTTTTTTTTTTTTTTTAAATAATTTTGTAATAAATATGACGTGAATAAATGATTCAGACGACGCGTCGAAGAAAGAAAACTCGAGTTGGAAAGGTTGGAACGAAGAATTTTTCCTGCAGGAAGAGTGGTTTTCGAAGAAGGTACCGAAACCGGAAGTGGGATTCAACCGAACGAAGTCACCAATCAATTGATCAACCAGCTCGAATCTGCTTTTAATAAGCTCAAGCTTGCAACAGGTACGGGTTGATGTTATTGGTATTACTCGTACATTTGCAGCAGCAGCAGCAGCCAATTAATTAAATGACATAATGGTTACGCAGGTGAAACCGAAGCCAAAGATGTTTTGCCCAGGTTCATATCTCAAAAGAAAACGAAAGAAAGGCTCGAATTTTTAAAAATGATCACCGAAAAAGAAAAAAAACAATTGGAAATGAAAAAAGAATCTTGTTTAGCCGAATTAGAATCGTCGAAATTTTCAGAAGTCAAAGATAAAGAAGAGTATGTTTAAATTATCATTATTATTATTATTTTTAATTAAGGTGACTTTTACTAATCCGACGTTTTTATTTTAAGAACCGAAGAAAAAATTGAAAAGCTCAAAATTGAAATTAATTCCGTGGAAAGTCTAATAGAAAATAATTCGAAAGAATTTAACAAAATGAATGAGCAACTTGTTAAAATCGGAAATTTTCTTTATTTAATCATTCAAAAAGTGCAGGTAAAATAAGAGAGAGAAAGACGGTTTATGGCGGACGTATTAATAAGATTAATAATTCGTTATTAATTTTAGTTTATGAATGACGAACTCCCCCCGGAACGATCGGACAATGTCGAAAATTATATTAATTTGATAGACTGTCTCAGTAGAAAAATTCAAAGCGGACTTGGCAATGTAAATTTGGGTGAAAACCTGCGGGAAACTGTTAAAAACATGGAACAAAATGAGGTGAATGACCGTTAATAAAACAAAAAATTCGATATTTAAATGATAATAATAATAATAATAATCATTTATTATTTATTATTTTCAGAAATATTTGCCAACATCAATTAATTTAACGGGAGAGGAGGAAGAAAAGGAAACGTCATTGTTTTCAGGTTTATTGCAACAAGGAGATAATAATAACAAGCAATCTAAAATTCAACAACCCTCATTGTTGGTCACGGATACAGACGACGAAG